ACAGGAGCTACAGCTTTTAGAGACAATAGCTTTAAAATCACGGAGATTCTGGTCTTTATTTATTACCATTTAATATGTAAAGCCAATAGTAGCTGTGGAATAATAACGCCTTAAAATTTCATTTCTAAAAGTTAAATAATGCATTTCAAGACATATTTTAAATAAAATGAGATTATTCAACTGATTTTTTTAAACTCTTATAAGCGAAAATTCAATCTGGAAAACTTTTTAGACTCTTTAGACTATTCTTAGAATCTCTCATCCGGGCCCTGAGGGGAAGACTACTCTAATTCTCTTCCCAAGTTATTCATCCAAGCTCATGTCAATTTACAACATCATGTCTTCTGCTGGGGTCCGAGCACCAAAGAACTTATTTCATTTAAGTCAATTAAATCTTTCTATCCCTTCTTTTATCTATATGAGTCCCACCATATAGGTAATTTATTTGTATGAATTCTTCATTACTACTCTTTAGTCTAAACATTTTACAACAAAACTTGATACTATCACCTTTAAATAAATTGTCTGTGACCTTTCTTAGCAATAAAAAACAGAAAGCGCCGAAATTTCTTTTACCCACAGAGAAAAGATGTTGGGACTTTAATTCTTGAGGCTTTCAGTGAAAAGGAGCCATTGTTGGAGATTCATATTTACAAGCCAGAGTATGCACAAGCAAGAAATAAAATAACATACTGTGGGGGTTAATTTGCAACACATGTTCGATTGTGTTGCATTAGAATTGCAATTTGCACCTCACTGTTGCAATTTCATTATCATGTTTTTGATCCTTGTTCTTCTTTGCTAGTAATCTTTTGTTATATTGTGAACAAAGTGAGGAGAACACACTGTGCGTGTTAAGAAAAATGATCTTTTAACATCTAATTGAGTTAAAAATAAGACGGACTGTTTAAAATGTTAATTCATTAATATCTGCACTGATAAACAAACATACAAGAAAATGGGGCCACATTATTCAAATTCAAGCTGCTTTTCTAAACTCAGTCCTCTGTCTTTGAACTCGGCACACGATACTGGCCAATTTATGCCAACTGCTATCAAAGTATTGCTACGCTGTACATCAAACAGGGGAGCATATATTAATTTGCTCTCCTCTAATTAGCAAACAATTGTATGTTTAAAAAGTTAAAGATAACACAGTGTTGAATCAAAAACACCATCACCCAAGAGAAATGCACTCTGCTGCAATACAACAGAAAATAGCACTTGTTTAAAAAAGTAAGCAGGGCTCTTCATCTCACAGAGTTTTGTCTCAGAGTAGAAAGAACTAATGAAAGTTGAACAACTCCATTACTGTAAAATAGTTTAAGTCAATTAACTTAGGGCCATAGATGCTGTTACACTAACCTTGGTGCTGTCAACTTATGGACTGTTTTTAAAGTTAACCATCTGATTTTAGAAGCTTTCCTTTGCCTGTCCTTGCAGCTCACTCTCCGTTAAAGCACGTGAAGTGCATTAAATGTTTAATGTGTGCATTAAGAGTGACTTAGTTTGGCACTAAATGCTTTATTTAACTATTTAATCCAAGTACAAGTGTCATGAAATTAAGCACATCATTCTAATAATATCCAGAGTTCGACACCTGAAGCTATGCCAGTCAGTTTAAGTGCAACATACTTCATGAAGCAGCTTCATTGTTGCAAGAATTAGAAGAATCTAGACACAAGATAACCAAACCCGCCAGACCAAGAGGAACATTTCTCTGGCTAAGGCACAGAAGCACAAGTTAATCAGAAAGTTAGCCAAGTATTATTTTTTCTATCTTACATTTTATTCCGGTTATAAAGCAACTTTTATAAGAGCTCCACAATTGAATGCAGACGTGTTTGGCAAGAAATATATGTGCATCCGCTAATTAAGAGATTAAATTCACTTAGACAACTTAAAAGGCATGTTGTATTTGGATGTCTGGAAATGCGCCACAATGATCTGTTTCAGGTCTGAGTAAAGCCTGATTAAAGGATGTGAATGATTGCTCTGGTCAACTTAGCACAGCTGTTATTAACACTGCTGCTATAGCAGCAGAGCTGAATGTTTATCTTTAGTATAGAAATAAAAGAATTTTCTTGAGAAGCTTTAGCCGCTATTTTTTTAGATGGGGACAAACTAGTAACAATTTTGGTAACCCAGATACCAGGCTTTAGACCTTTGGCATATTACAGGTAAGGAAATGTATATTTTATTTACAGATATATATTATTTACATATCTTTAAGAGGGATAAATAAAAAGGTATAGAAATTCTATCATAACATATTTTTATAAACAGGTGACCAGAAAAGCCTCTCCTTATAGACCATCTGTTTGTATTCAGTCTTTTCTTTATTGTGCATGAAACCAGATCTGGACACAAAAAAGGAGATCATTACAACTTTAACACAATTACACCCACAGTACATAAAAATCTACTCTACAGTTTTGGTCTCAGCACACTATAAATGATTACAAATTCCAAGTGAACAACACCTATGCAGTCCTCCTGATCGTTCACCTTTCAGCACCCCTATTTCTAGTTTCCATCAAGCTCCCCAAAGGTGTGGACTTAGGGAGCAACACTGGCAGGTAAAACTCTTAGAAAACAGCAAGTTTATGACATTGTCCTTGGGAGACAAATTTTCAATGTAGAGATATGAAAACTATGATTAAAGGGAAGGAACAGTGTCTTGGCAAGAAGATAGGGACTGACGTGGCAGTTTTTTTCTTCTCTGCTAGAATATATTGCTTCTGTCACCTAAGAGCTCCTTATACAAGAGGCAGGAAATTTCCTTTGTTTTGAATAGAGTGAAAAAAAGAGGAACAGTGTCTTCTTATTTGGATCAAAAGTTGCTATTTGCAAAGGTGGAACCTGCTTAAATTATTTGTTCAGTACTGGTTTAGATTAGCATCTAAATAAAAGAAACAGTAAAAAAAAACAACATCGTGCAAAAAAAAAAAAAATATGATTTTCTATGGTATTTTTACATAACATAAAATATATTGTAACTAATTACTAGTGTTCAAAATACAGTCAAACAACATTGTATTTTTTTTATTTTACAGGAAATGACAAAGGCTGTTAAAAACGTAATATATATATATATATATATATATATATATATATA